AAGGTCGCCGTGGTAAATCCGGGCCCCGTAGATATTTCAAATACCAGGCGTTCTGTCGAACGGAAGGAAACCGTCGTCGAGACTCGGTTGGAATTTCGCGACGAAATACGAGCCGCTTTCATAATTCGCATTCCCGGTTAAATACCGTGCGATGCCATTCCCTAGGACGACAACGACTACGACTACGACGACGAGGACGGGGATGGTGTAACAATTACGAGAAACTTGCACGTGATTTGGCCACCAATAAATTTGTGTAAACATACACGTATATATATAGACGTTACAATAATTCTCGACTAACGTATAAATTCTCTCGACATTTTAAATATAATTTATAAATGATCTAAATGATATGAAATATCTATGATAAAAAGATTATCAAATTACGTCTAACGACCATGATTTAGAAGCATCAAGGATAACGATGGAGAAAGATGGAAGGATAAAAAGAAAGAGTAAGTGAGAGAAAGAGAGAGAGAGAGAGAGAGAGAGAAAGAGGGAGAAAGGAAGAACAGGAGCTGCTGGAGAGCCAGAGGCGCCGATCCGATAGTGTGTCGACGATAATCGGTGCGGGCGTGTAACAGCCGGCGTGGCTCGCGCCCCACGTCCACGCGTCCACCACCAACACACACACACATGCACATATTTATCTATGTATATATGTATAGAAAGATAGGAAGGAACGCATACAACGAACGGAAGCATCTAAGATCCTATCGTTGAATGGTAGAAGCGCGCGATATGACCGCTGCCTATTGCTACTCGTTTTACCGAGAGGCTCAACAGAGGAGACCTTCTCGATTATCGTTTTACCATTCGAGAAGGGATTTATCTCGATCGGTCGAAACACGACGCCGCTAGTACAACCAACCTTCTTCTGATAACGATTAACTCACACCAAACTTTCAACCTTTTTCCTATGCTTTTTTCATATTTGCATTTTTCTTTAGTTCCATCTGTGCAATGTTTTTTTTTTGTTTTATAATAATGATAATAATAATAATAATAATTTGTTGCTTGAGAAGAACGCAATTCCTCTTCCGCTTTAACATTATCTTTGCCCTGTAAATGACCCACGGTGTGTGTTGTCCTACTCTTCCTCTTCTTCCTTTAGAACGTGTGGGTGTATAATGACAGAGCTTGTGCTGTGAACGATTAACTCGTATCTCTAGGGTATTTCTTTAGATTTTCTATGCATTTGCAAGAGAGAAAGAGAGATAGATAAAGAGAAAGAAAAAGATTTGATATGATTGGAAAGGTGTATCATCTTGTTCTTTTTTTTTTCGTAAATTCATCTCTTTTCCAATATACCTAATATCTACAATTATTTTTTCAAATACTTACAATTATGAAATAAAAGTGTATTTAAATGAAATAATAGAATGATCGAAGATAATGAGCTATGAAAAATAATAGCTGATAATACTAGTTATCTGTGAAATCATAAACGTGACGTTTTAAAAATGGTTATTTTATGTTAAAAAGAAAATTGAAGTTGGGAAATTGCGTTGAATTGTTAGTTATCTCTATGGATCTGGTAGGTAAGCATCGAGCTACGTCATATTCTCTTTGAAAGACAAAAAGATTACGCCGGACCGTTAATACGGTTACGCGTTATCTAGATTGCAAACTCGCTTCGTCGGCTTCCGTCGGTCGAGAAACGGAATGAGTAATTAATCAAAGACAATCAAACTCTGGGAGCCTCGACTTTATCCGACTCCCAACGAATATAACACTCCACAGTCTATTCGTTCTGTGTACTCTTCTATGTTGTGAAACTCGAAAGAAAAATAAAATAAGTAAATATGGATCATTATGAAAAATAATTGAAATCATCTCGCAAGATAATTATCTAAACTTTCGAAAATTTCATTCAAATTGATGTTTTAATCAAACACTGAAAGAAAGAAAGAAAGAAAGAAAGAAAGAAAGAAAAAACGAGAACGAGTTAATGGATTTGGTTTGTATATATACTAGTGCACGATTATAGATGAATGAATAATAAAAAGAAAAAGAAAAAGAAAAAGAAAAAAAAACAAGAGAAAAGAAAAAACAACAGAACACATTGAAAGAATAACGCTAGATAGGAAGATTAATTTTCTTCTTCGAGAAGTATTAAGTTCTTTAAGAAAAGAACTTCGACAAACTAATCTTCAAGAATCTTAATTACATCTGCGATTTATTATAAACACGATTTATTCATCAGACTTTTCTAAAAGAAACGTGAAACACGTTAAGAACGTGTCCGTTAATCCGATGAAAGATCGTCATTTTGTTAGTACGAGGACTTTTAATGGTGACACCAAAAGAAGAAGATTCATTTATCATATGTGGTCCTCGTAGACGGTTAGAAAGCTCTTAATTATGACTATTTCATTCCCAAATCGATCTAGACTTTCACGTATTACTTTAGACAAAAAAAAAAAGTATAATAAAAAAAAATTGCTAAATTCGGTTTATCTTTCGCAAGGAATTTTTTTCTATATAATGTATATATATATATAGTGTAAATATATTATATAGAAAGCTTATCCGGTCAATCATATCGAAAGGAGGCCAGATCGATTTATCTTCGACGATATGTAAAGCGAAGATCAAAGTTCCTATGGTTCGTAGGAAGGGCTTTGAAAGAAAAAGAGAAGGAGGTAAATAGAAAGAAAGAAAGCAAGAGAGAGAGAGAGAGAGAGAGAGAGAGGGAGAGAGAGAGATTTAGCTGATTCACCAATGTACATATGTATATACACACATGTATGTACATATATACTTATATGGTATCCACACACGATCGGAATTTTCCGATAGCCACCGAGCTGGGATTTATAGACGTTCAGGGAAACGGACTTGAGCCGTTATAAACGGCCGCTTAGAGGACGATAGAAACGGTGCTGAAGTTGGAGGAGGCGGGTTAGAGGGAATCGTCCAGTCGATGTTTAAAGTCGATGTTTAATATCTGCCTGTATTATATCGCCGCAGGAAATCGCTAGCAGTATTTACAGGGAAAACAATAGAACGTCGATAGAGAACGGAGGGTGCATCCTCATCCTCATTCTCATCCTCGGCCTCGTCCTCGTCCTCGTCCTCGTCCTCGTCTCGAATCCAATTCGACTCGATTCAACTTGGAACATTTAGTATCGTGCCGAGATCGAGAATATGTTATGTTAGTTAGACTTTCGAGTCAAACTTCGTGTCACCGTACCGTTACGAAAGCGTACACGTTTTTTTGTTCATCCTATCATCGTAATCTTGCAAAATTGAAACACAAATAATTTCGCTAAAGATCGATTAGTTTTTCCAAATAAGTATAGAACGAAATTGGCTGGGGATATTTAGTTATTAAATGTTTCATCAACGAATTCGTATAAACATGCCCAGAAGGAAAAGACCCATAAGTCTTCGAATTCCATTTTGCATGGATCCTTGTAGATCATTAATCCACAAATGGATATGAATTGCGGTAGCTACTCGAACGAGAATCTTTTCTCCTTCATTCTCTTTCTCCCTCCCCCTCTCTTTCTTTCTCCTTCTCCTTTTCTCCGGAGAGAGAAAAAAACTTGTAAGTAATAAAAATGAGGCGTGGTTCGTGCTCACGACAACCGATTTCGCGGTTTAAATTATTAAATGTACCGTACTGCGTTCACTCGATCTCCTCTCCGGAGGAGCCACTTTTTTATTCGTTCCACGTCTCGCGCTATTTTATCGGCACGGCCATGCTTCTTTCGAGTGATATCAGATGCTGTATTTCTTTTCTGCCTTTTTTTTCTCCTTTTTTTTTTCATTTTGTTTTTTCCCCTTTTTTTCTTTTCCTTGCCGAACTTCGAATTGCCTCGAGCCATTCGAGTTGAGACTCATTTTATGGCCATTTTAAAAGAGACGACAAAAAAATAAGAGCGTTCTCTTATTCGCATTAGGCTCAGAAACAGACAGAGAAAGAGAGTGGAAGATTCTTTGGTAATTGCGAATCCATTAATCGTTTAAATTCATTTTAGCGTGACTCCGCTCTTAAGACTTTCCATAATTTTTTTGTTCGTTTCTATAGAGTAATTCTCTGATTGAATGAACAAATTCCACAAATCCATTAGGATAAAATCACATAAACGTACGATACAATTGAATAGTTTTCGTTCGTACGAAAGGGTGCCTATATTTCCTACGCCATTTACAGTCTATTCGATCGTTAAAACTATAATTCTAAGGAAAGAAAAAAAAAGAATCGAAAATTCTCTTGCGATGTTCGAATATGCAAGTCGGAAGGATTTTATATGTATCGATCGGTTGACGACGTTTAGAGAGAATCACCTAAATGGCAAGAAGCAACGAGCTGACTTTTTCTACACCTCGAATGGAAAATCGCCCGGACAAGATTAAAAAGCTTTGAAAATAGAAGGTTAAGATATCTTTAAAGTATACATATGAACATTCTCCGCTCCCTTTCAGTTTGTAGAGGTGAAGGTAAAGCAAATCTTGTATTGAGAGAGAGAACGAGATGGACACTCTCTGATTTTCCATATAATGGACGTTAAAGTGAGAAGGAAAAAGAAAATTAAAAAAAATACAACATAATTAACCCATAAAGCAAAGCAATCGGCGCGGATCTCTATGGTTTAGCCATAAGCGAGAATCGAAGGTTGGTTGTAGGCACGTTCAAGGCACGTTCGAGGCACGTTCGAGGCACGTTCGAGGCACGTTCGAGGCACGTTCGAGGCGCGGTATTCTGCGTACACACCCGCAGATATAATGCGTGTGTGGATACGCTGTTATGTAAGTATTCGCCGCGAATAGGCATGCGAAGGAATAGCCAATAGGGACTTTCTTCGATTAGTATTGAAACGATTCGAATATATCGGCTTCTCTCTAACGTGGAATTTCGAAAAACGAAGTTTTCCTTCTACATTACACCAATCCTTCTTCCCGTGGATCATCATGGTTGCTATTTCTAAAGGGCTTTGTTAAAACTCATTCTAATGCGAATTAAACGTAAAGGTTATCGTCCTACTCACCGGTTGAAGAGACGTAGAGAGATGCTGGTGGTGGTGTAGGCGTTGTCGAAGGTGAAGGTACTCTTCTTGCAGCGGCACTAATTATTACTGCTGGATTATACCGAGGCACCTGCAACACCACGGGAGTTTTCACGGACAGGTCCACTGGTTCCAGCTGCACCGGGGGTCCCGCCGCCTAAAATTATATTGCAATCAATTAGTATGACCGTTACGTACTACTTACTACCAAACAATTTTCTCTCTTTATCGATAAAAATGAATAATTTAATCAGGTAACATATTAGCATAATATACCAAATGTATCGTGCTCATTTTCTCTCATCATTTGCATATATTTTTATACCATCATTATTACCCATTCTATAAAATATCTTATACCTATACAACATATTCCACTCTTACCTCTTATATTTACAACTAATCGATGAATATGTTGAAAAGTCTTATGAAAAATCCGAAAACGGATACTCTCATAAATTTATTCAGGGTAATATTTCAATCTTGTTGCGTACATATCAGACTCTGAGTGAAACTGAACCCCTAAAACCTTTCAAAGGAGCGACCACGGTAAATCGATAGTCGATCGAAGGTTTTACCTTCGGTACCTGGTCTATCTCTATCGTGGAACCGTGAGCTCTCTCGATGCTTGGTAGCCCGAGCGAAGTGCTTTCGCGCAATTAGCATAACTAGCGTCGGAATTGACGTGGACTAATCACGACCAGTTCCCACGAGGTTCAGACCGAGTTCTACCTCAGCACATACCCTTTCCTATATCTACCTTCCCCTCTTTCGATGTACCGTGAATCGCCTAATGACCGATCGAATTAATAATCAATGACTAAGAGCGCGATGGAACCAATTTTCATCGCATTTTTCTCAATTTTATTCTACCTTTATTCTCCTTTCAACCTGCCAATTATTTTTCTATTCAGTCGACTTATAAATAAACATGTATTCCAAGAAAAAAATAAAACGAGATTTGATAAACAGGCAAACAAAGGTAAATCCTATGTGAGGGCATAATGTTTAAAATTCAAGACAGTAGGTGACGTTAAATCATGGCAGTATCGGATTTACAAAACGCTCGGGGACGAGAAGATCGGATTTACGGAGGCTGACTTCGAACGCGATTGTTCGAAGGTAATGCCCTAACGAAACGTGGGAATGCCGCGGCCATATCCACGAAGGCGAAAAGCTCGCCTTATGTCCCTGCAATATACATGTCATAGAACAAAACGAATGGCTCTCTTGTCGCGAAACACGATACGAACCTAATAACGTAACTTCCAACTATCCTACATGCGTATATCTGCACGGTTAAAGATTAACAAACAATAAGACGTACGTGGAATGTAACTTTTCTCGTCTTTTTAAATAAACATCCTTTTTTTTTTTAAATCAATTAAATTGCAATTAAAAAATTTAATTACTACGTTAACTGACAAATAAATTATACATATATTAATTGGAATAATCGTTATTAATAAACATTTCAAGCATGTAAAAATGCGTAAAAATTTGAAAATTTGTCGAACGATAAGTATTTCCGAGTTTTTCTGTGAAAGAAATGAAAATGAGAATCTTGCGATGTTATGGAGAAGGAGAATGACATCGCGGTCCGAATCGCAGATGAGATTCATTGTACATGTCGGCGGCGAGGTCATAGCTAGTCAGTGTGCCTCCGTTGCAAATCAATTCCGAAAAAGAGACATTCGGCACGCGAGACACGCCCACGTCGACGTTCTCATTTCTAGAAAGTACATACAAACTCGACGAACAAATTTCTTATTCACGAACGTCGCGGAATGAGTAACGATGAGGCTTCTCGTATTTTCGGTTAGACGGCAGTTGCATTAACGATTCCACTCGCGTAACTCGCTTTCTGCTTGATACCCAGATCGATGGCAATTCTAATCGAATCTAATACTATTTCCAGAGATAATTCAATATTCTATCTATCTCTCTCTCTCTCTCTTTTTTTTCTTTCCCTCTTTTTCTTCATAGTATATTTATAAATTTCTTTTAAATACTAATTCTAGAGAGATAGGTTGGATCAATGATTCCCTAACGAAACGATTTATTGAACTATAAGAAAAAGGGGAAGCGCATTTCGATAAATAAAATCAAGCTAGGTATTAAATCCGTGATGACTAATGAAAGAACGGATAAACTGTTCTTAATGGTTCCTGGCTACGAAGTTGCGTGTGTGAGGTGCTCACGTACGATACGTACGTTCTCACAGTAGCGAGTCATAATGAGAATGTAACGTTCATCAATCATTCGTTGTTAGGCAATCTCCGATTGGACGAGTCCTGTTAGAATTAATTTAATTACTCCGACTGTTTTAACGTAGAGCATCTATCTACATACATTTATCGATATTACACGAATCTTTTATCATCATCACATATATATATATATATATATATATATATATATATATATATATATATATATATATATATATTTATTTCAATACAAAGATTTTATCGCGACAAAAAGTGAGGAAAAAAAGAAGACAGTAAAAGGAATAACTTTTAATTATGATCATAGAAATCCTCCCACCGATCGATAATTTATGTTTAAACCGTTATCAGGTCAACGCCCTTTTACCATCATCGTGTATATGTTACTGGGAACGTTCGATAGGCTGATAGATACGCGTATATCTCGGAACGTTCATACTTTCCGCGCTAGAGTTAATTAGGTTTATTAAATCGCTAATAACGCTTTACATCATATACGATGTTATATACGAAGATAGATAGAGACGGGACGAATGGTCGGAGGGAAAACAGGGGGATGGAGGGGAGTGGAAAGCGATTGCATCATTAATGACGCATAATCAATTTAATATATGCGTGTCCTTTTAATTTCCTTTACGTGAAATGAATCTTTAAAGAAATTAATTGCTACGAGGTATCTTCGAGATAAACTTTTGAAAAATAATTTCAATATTTTCTAAATTATACGTTTTATAATCTTTAACATAATGATTATTAATTACATGATATTTAAAAATAGAAAAACGAAATGGGTGTGGACAAATTATCTGGTAAATTGAAGCAAAGCTAACGAGTTGTAGATACTTACGTACAAACTAATTTACTAATTCCAAAATTGCTCTATAAACACCATATCCCCCATGTTAATGTCTACATCGACGCTTAACTATGATCCCGGATGATGCGCAAGATCGTCGAGCGAAGAAGGTACATAGACGCGTACAGAAAGCATCCTTTCTAAGGATAATAAAAAGAAACCGTGTATAATATATAATAGGCCTATCTTGGTAATAACTCGTAGTTATCTTCGGCTACGGTAGATCTTGCCGATAATTTCAAAGACAGCCCGTATGTAGGTATACGCGAATATACGTATATAATATCAAGAGAATATATACACAGAGTGTAGAATTCTCGACAGTTTGATATCATGTAAGAGAAGGGTGCTTAACCGTCCCGTCTCGTCTCTTCCTCCTCTTCCTCCTCCTCCTCCTCCTTCTCCACCTCCTTCTTTAGACGTCTAATAAAAAAATTAGAGAAAAAGTTAGAGTTAGAGAAAGAGATTGAGATACGAATGTAACGAAAATATCTCATGTTCTTGTGAAACATAACGCATAAATTATGAACATACTTTGAATAAGAACTAATTAAGGTTATTTCGTTTTTAACAAATTTTATCTATGACAAATAAAAAAGAATAATCACACGATATATCGTATAATCGTAAAAACGAACGAGCTTATTTTATTTTTAAATTTGACTTCGACAAGAAATTTCGTACACGATCGGGCGTAACAAGTTTGAAACGTCCGAGCAAAAGTAACAACCAGAAAATATGACCGTCCGACGACTCAATTCGAGCAGCAAAGAGAGTTTTATGACGTCGATTATTCGTTTCTTCATTTGGCTTTTCGTTGAGCGGTCAAATAAACGACGGTGCTCGTTAACCACTCGGAATGGAAAAAATTCGAATGAAGAACGAGAAGAGAGAGGAAGAGAGAGAGAGAGAGAGAGCAGGAAAACGGAAGAAGAACTAATTCAATGAATCTCGTGTCATAATTGGAACGACGTTGATCAAAGTTTCCATTAAATGTGAAATAATACCGACTTTTGATTTTCTTCCTAGCGAATCAGACCATCTTTCTCGTCAATTAAGTTACATTCTTTTTTCCAAACGACTGTTTCCCTCTTTTTGAAATATTAAATAATTAAGTAAGAACAAAAATTCTGTTATTTATATCCGAAGTTTCGCGATTTCATTTTGTCGGAAATACATTCGTGCCAATTATCCTTCCTCTTCAATGAAATACCGAACTGAAATTAATTTGATAATATCGCGCTTGAAAGTTTGTGGTCAATCATTTCTAATATGATAGAAGAAAAAAGAAAAAAAAGGTAAAAAAAGAAAGAGAGGGAGATGATTCGGTGCTGCCAACAACAGCATTATTCCATTCGCTGGAACGTTTAAAGATGTCATTGATTAAACGAGCAGGAAGCGACGGCAGGGAATATTTTTATATATATTTCTCTCTCTCTCTCTCTCTCTTTCTCACCCACACATGCATCTCGTACGCGTCTTCTTCTCAGTATCTCGGCCTCGCCTCCGTGTGGGCAACGCATTTATGAAGCGCGAATGTATGAATAGGCATGGCCCCTGGTCCCGACGAGAGATCGGCGCAATGGGCGTGGAAGTAAAAGAGAGAGAAAGAGAGAAAAAGAGTGGAAAGAGTGGAAAGAGTGGAAAGAGTGAGAGAGATAGAACCCTTTTATACAGCACGTTGTTGCTTCGTGGCATACCAGATCCATCCAAGAGAGAAGAGAAGAATGAAAAGGATAGACGCCTATCAAAGTCACTCGAGCTCAAAGGCTGCATTATACCGTCGAAAGTCAAGATTCAATTGTGCATAGGTTATTAATTGATCTATGAGATCTTTACCAAGAGACATGTCTATGTGAAAACTTATTCTATTTCCTTTAAATCCTTTAACACCGAACGCGAGTTCAACTTAAATTGCTATTTGATTTGATGGATATAATCTATTCGTCGGGACAATCTTTTTATTTATTTTTTTTATCTTACTTGTATTTTTTTTTATTTTTTTTTTTTATTTTTACACAACTAACAAAGATCAACATTTTACGTATATAAAATTGATAAAGAAATGACGCG